CAATTTTTTCCCCAGTTCTGCCTTTCATTTGGGGGGAGGGAGGGTATTGAGTTTTACTTTTGCCTTCATTCCAATGTCTAATTATCTAGGAAGTAAGTAACACTGTCCAAGGGTAGTGGCTTGGCCTCCTAATTTCTCCCTCTTTTTGAGTCCAAACCCACATTTGATGCCAAAATTATATGGAAAAAAAGAAAAATGCTATTTTTTTTGTTGCTGCTTGTTTTAAATTCAGTATTTAGTAGGGATTTGTGTCCCTTTCCTATTAATTTTCTATAACCTTCAAGATTAGCTTTAAATGTTTCTATTCAGCAGATATCAGGCAAGGGAAATGACATAAACAAGGCTCTACTGTTAAGTCAGACTTCCCCATGACAACCGCTTTCCTCCCACCAACCTCTCTCCTCTCACCAATTCTCTTCCCTAATACAGTCTCAACTTACTTCCTACCTCTTCTCCAATCTGTATTTTTTGTTTCATTCCTGGCCAATGTGATTATCCCCATAATGAGCAAAACCCGTTCTCTATTCCCTACCCACCCTGAAACCTCATTCAAAATTTCTGTTCCTAGTCAATGAGAATGTCTCTCCTCCCCTACTCCCATCTCTTTCTCTAACATGAGCACTCGTAGTCTGACCACATGCTCACATTAACTCAAACCCTTAGCCAATTACTGCAGTATCTGTAATATATTTCTACTTACCTATTCTACATCCTGCTGTCTAGATGTTAAGAAACTACCGAAGAGCTAATTTGGCAGGGCCTCTGCACCCCCTTTTATACTCTTCTTGGTGCCCTAGGTCATAATGCTCAATTGATGAGCTCATTTGGTCCTCAGCCAATCCCTGTTGAGCTTGTTGCTCATTGAGATCATAGTTGGTCTCTAGGGGTAACTACGTAGTAGTTACTCAAGGACTGATTTCTTGAATTAAATGAAAAAACTAAATGTCTAAGTCATCTCAGTATCACATTGTCATAAAACAGAAAAATTAAGTTTAGCTGCTGTCATGAGACAGTCCTATTTTGTCTTAGGAACCAATAAAAAGACATCAACTAGTTCACTAAGAGTACATATATCTCTTATTCACTTAATAGCCTTACTATTTTCATTTTCTAATTCCCTTTTTTAGCATCCCTTCAATTACCTTTGGTTAAGTGCATGTCATTAAACTTAAAAGCACCTCCTACTTATTTTCTTTAAATCTCATATTTTATGTTATGGCCATCAGAAGCACCATCATTTAAACAGTTAATTCATGTCTACGGTTTTTAAATTAGTTTCCTGAATAGTAATTTATTTTTTATTCTTATTGTCTCCTGAGTATTCTCATTATCCTTCTCTTTAGTTCTCTTTTGTGTCTAATTTTCATGAACATTTTTTTCCTATTCACTCATTTCAGATTATCCATGAGCTCTTTTCTCCTTTTCCATCCCCAATCTTGCTTTCTTCAAAAACAAAACAAAACAAAAACAAAAAACTCCCACCACAAAATACATTTTGGGACACATAAATTATAAATTGTTTTTAATGATATTAAAATTCATAATTCCATGTCCATTTTCTAAAAAAGTTGTTTCTAGCCTAGCCTTGTTGAGTTTTGCTGAAATCTCAGCTATGTAGATCAGTTTTTCTATAATATTTCTTATAACTATACCTTATTGGACTTCTGAGAGATTTCATGTTAAAAGACTTAAAGCTGAAAATGGCACCAAACTTTAAGAAATTTATGTATTGGGGCCAGCCGCATAGCCTAGTGCTTAAGGGAGCCAGATCCCATATGGCAGACCACAGTTCAAATGCCAGCCCTGGAGGCTTTAAAACACATCACGCATATGTGTATGCTTGCTCAAATGACAAGATGGAGAAATGGAGGAGAAGGGATTGTGGCATGAACATGCCTCTTTGAGGAGTGTTGTTTCCTCTCCCTTTCTTCCTTTAATCTCTGTCTCTCTGTCTCTCTCTGGGAAGCACATGTACCCCCTGGCAATTAAAAAAGAAAAAAAATTTTAGAATATATGAATGGTCTCAGTCTGTTTGTCTTTGTCTTATCTTCCCAGGCAAACTGTTTGCAGAGATGTTTTATTTATTTATTTACAACCCCACAGTGTCTAACATAGTGCTTTCTATACATAGTAGGTGCTGCATAAGTATTCTTTGTAAATGAATGCCACTTGTTTGGGGAGACCTCTTCATATGACTCAACCTAGTGCTTCACAGGAATGCTGTCCCTCTCATTTTACTTAGCCCATGCTTTTATCTCCTTGTAATGGCCATATTCTTCGTCACTTCCTCTCTGACTTCTTGTACTTTTAAGTGGAACTGAAGCCTTAGGCAGCATCATCACCCTAGCATGTGCTAGGCTTTGTATTAATTGCTGGGAATATGAAGAAAACTAAGACGAGATTTTTGCCCTCTAGGCACTCCAGTCTAGTAGGGATCAGAGATAAGAACTGTAACAGTAAGTGTGATAAGTTCTGTAATTGAGATGTGTACAAAGTGTTGTGAGAGAAAAAGGAGACAAAGCAAAACACCTCTGGCTGGGATGGGCTGGTGGAAGCTTCTCAGCATCAAGGATGGTCAGTTTCAACAGGCCAAGAGAGGAGGGAAAGGGTTATGCGGTAGAGTAAATATATCTGGGTGAAGGCACCAAGGTGTGAAAGGAAGAGCAAGAAGTGCAGTGCATCCAGAATGAGAAGCTACAGAATGAATTTTTAAAACCAGGCTGAAGACACAGGTGAGGTTTGCTTGTGAAAAGTGTAGTATGCTATCCTAAGGAGCTGGGACCATACTCTATGACAAGAGGGAGGCAGCAAAGAGGTTTCATGGAAAGAAAACAAGCCTGGTAGAATTTCTTAACATGTTCATTCTCTCTCCCTCATATCCCCCCACCCACCTCACACACACACACACACCCCAATTTAATGCAGTCACTATTTCCTAACATAAAGCTTAGAATTAATTCCTATATCTGAGCTTCTGGCCCTATCCTATTTATTCAACTTTTTGTTTTCCTGTCACTCTCCTGAACCCTCTTGCCAGTCAGCCCATCTGCGTCTGACCTCACAGTGAGCTTTTGTTTATGTCATCTCCTTTGCCTGTGAAGAGACCCAGCCCATCTCTTCCCAGGTGACATCTTGGCTGACCTCCTTTTAGAGTCCTCAGAGTCTATACTACAGCTTTTGACACTTTATTACTACATGGTATTCTATTATTTTCTACTTGTTTGTGTCCTCCTTCTCTCCCCTACAAAACACAAACCCTCTGGGAACTGGAGAGTAAACTCTATGAGATCAAGGGTCACACATTTCTTGCTCACCGCTATGTCCCCAGTGCTTAACTTGTAGCAGATGACTAATAGATATTCCTAAACACACATGACTGCAATTAAGAACATTTTTGTACAATGTCTGTCTCGTCCATTGCATGAGAGCAAGGATTTTTATGTGATTTGCTTACTAATGACTCTCAAGGACCTAGAACAATGTGAGGAACATAATAAGTCAACAAATATTTGTTGAATTATGGTTAGGATGTCTGTCTTGTTCACCATTACATTTGCTATCCTTAATGTAGGGGATACTTGATAAAGTTATTGAATGAATAAGGCTGAAGGCATATCTTCTTCTTCTTGTTCATATTACTGTCACACTATTGAATACCTGGTAGGGGGACCAGCAGTTGGAATAATGGCTATGTTGCTGGACTCCCACATAGTTGACCACAGTTCGAGTCCCAGACCTGGTGGCTTAAACTCACGCCGGGCACGTGTGCATGTGTGCCCAAGATCCTGAGAGGAGAATGGAGGAGAAGGGATTGTGGCGTGGCCATCCCCCCCTGGGGGGTGATTTCTCGCTTTCTGTCTCTCTATCTCTGTCTTTCTGGCGAGTGCACGCACCCTATAACAAAAACCTGTCAAAAAAAAATACCTGGTGGGTATCAAATATATATTTATGATTGATGGATTTTGAATAAAGCACATTAAGTTTTGCTACTGAACTTTCTATTAGTGTAAGTACAGTTCTTTCCTTGATGACTGTGAAAGGCTTGCACATACAGGGAAGGAACCCTTTCTACAAAAGCTAAAAATAATTTTCTTCTACAACCACTGACTTTTTTTTTTAAGCAATGGGAATTTCAACTGTGAAGAGAGGAAGAACGTAAGGAGTTGGTCTATACTATGGTAAAACAGTCTTGTTACCAGATACTAAAGTCGAAAAAGGTTTGCTCAGTAAAAAGAGACATAGCCCTCCATCAGAGACCACTGGGGAACAGATTAGCAATGGCTATAACCTTGCCATGCATCTATCATCTAGGTTCACTTAAACAGTCTTCCACTAGGGCATGGCAGCGCCCGCCTTGTGGCAAAACAGTCTCCCACTAAAGCCTCTCTAGACATGCTTTCCTTCCATTCTTAGTACAGGCAATCAGTCTTGATTCTTCAAACAAGATGTGCATGGTATCTTTTTGTAAATAGCATAAACTTATCAGAAACTGAAGTCCAGAGAAGTTAGGTCATCTGTGCAAGGGTTTGAAGGTGCATCTGACTCTGTGCCATATAGATGGCAAGACAACAAACAGTGTTGGGGAGTACTAAGGCATTACTGAAGGAATCTCCAGGGAATGTCAGTCAGTTACACTTTTCTCCTCTGCTCGGAGTTAGTAAATTCCTTTTCATTCAATCCTGATGTCATGCTGAGTCATAAAAAGAAGCGTTCTTCAGTACTGCGACACTACACACACATCGCTGGAGGCCCTTTAGCCAGCCTCTGTTAGTCATCATTATACTCACAGGCTTGGGGCCAGTGCCATTCACACTTCCCCCTGTCCTGCAGCAGACAGGACTGAGTTCCTCTAGTCCTTGTGTCCCTTCTTCCCCACCTCTCTAAAATCCTTCTCAGGGAGGAACAACTGTAACTTGGGGGATAATATAGCTTTAAGGAAACTTTTGGCAGATGCGGACATCCTAACATCTGGGCAGTGTTAACAGAATCCCGGAGGCCCGGACAGAGCAGAAGCCACTCGTTCTAGGAATGTTAAAGTAGAAGTTTTTTTCTTTTTTTTTTCTTTCTATTTTATTTTCCTTTCAACTGATGAGAGGAGCAGAGAGCAAGGAGAAAGGAGGAAAGAGAAGAGAGCACAAAACCATAAAAAGGTAAGGTCTGCAATGAATCCCTCCACGCTACACTACCCCATTTTACAACTATAGAGGGATGAATAGACCCAAGACAGGAGATCCGGCTGGAGCCAGAGTGGGGAAGTGCTTTTATGAAACTGGATCCTATGCTGCTTTTCATTTGTGTTGTGATCTGGCTGTAGACACAAGTTCCCACTGCCTTATCAACCCACAGCAGTGGATGGCTGACTCCGGTGAGTCAAGTTTCCAGTCTGAGGTTAGGGAGGAGGTGGACAGGTAAGAGGTCACAGGCTTAGAGTATTGGGTCTGAAAAAGGAAAGCTACTGAACCAGAACATAGGAACTGGGCTGAAGCTGGATAGGAGTGAGGGGTCAGTGATTACTTATCTAACCATTAATTTTCCCAGATTGCTCTTCAATCTCCCCTGTCTCCTCCTTTTGTTGCCTCTTTCTGGTTTTATCCATCTTTTTCCTCCAGCTCTGTCCGATTTTCTTTACTTACTTACCTCCTCCCCATGTCTTTCCACCTTCCTTGTCTCCCTTACTTGATCCCACTTTTTCTCTATCCTGCTGTCTTGCCACCCACTCTGTAGACAAACTCCAAAGCCAAGAAACAATTAATTGAAGAATGAATTTTTCCTTTTCTTGGACTCTGCATGTCCCATAGGAACTCTGGTCAGAATCTGCCACCTTTTTTTTTTTTTCTTTATTTCCAGGACTGACTTCTGTGAGCATGGCATTTCATTGAAAGTATATGGTGAATGGGTGCTTGCTGAAAGGTCTAGTGCCCAGTTTATACCAAATGAGCATCAAGCTTTAATACTGTAATTTACAAAGTTGCCCACTGGGAACCACAAAACTCTCCTCCCATTAGAGTGAGGACAGGACAGGAAGCCAGAGGGGAATTGGAGCCTGCTCATCCTCTCTTCATGTACCTCAATAGTTCCTCCCCAACCTCGTTGACTTCCTGCTGGCTCAGCAAGGTAAAGCTAGAAGGTTAAGCTGGACTTGAATGCCAGAAGTCACTAGCAAACCACAAAGCCTCAAAACACAGAGCTAAGAACAGAGTCAGGATATAGTTACTGCCTGGGAGACTATAGAAAAGAAATATCCAATCCTGTCTAATACAAAGTTGTCAATATTAATATCTAATAGATAGACAGAGATAGATAGATATAGATAGATAGATGGTACTTCCCTATGTGCCAGGCAATAATCTATTTGATGAGGTAGATACTATTGTTATTCCAGTTTTATAGATGAGAAAATTGAGGCCCAGAGAAGTTAAGGAATTTGTCCAAGGCCCCATAGCTAATAGGTGATAAAATCAGATTTACATCCAGATCTATATAACCCCAGAGTTCAGCCTTTACTAACAATCTCCCACATCAGTAGTTAGGAGATACTAGTTGAATGAAAGAAACCATTAATGGGCAGCACTGAAAAAATAACCAATTTTTAAAATTTGCTATGGGGAGCATGTGCTTGCTGGGGAAAAGGGGGGCGGGGAATCATCCCACAGGGAGAATGGCCACACCACAATCCCTTTCTTCCATTCTCCTCTCAGGATTTCAGACAGACATACACACACACTTGTCATATCTTTCAAGCTGCCAGGTCCAGGATTCAAACTGCGCAGTTAGCCATGTAGGATCCAGCTACCTTAGCCACCACCTGGCTATCCCAACTGGAAGCATTTAGATTTCCAGATCACCTCCCAGTTCTATGTGACTTAAAGTTATCAAGACCTTTTCCTGGTCTTGATACCTCAGTGTTGCTCTTTTAACTTGGATCATGAAACATTTGCATCTAATTCCACCAGGGTCAGTTGAGGATTGATTTTTTTTTTATTTTGTCCTCCTGAGAGAAAAAGGGTCCACAGGTAACAAATGAGATTCTTATAGTTCTCTAAAATGGAAGATATGTATGAGAAGGATGCTATAACAGACTTTCATTAATTTTCATCTCTCTTCTTCCTTACAGATCCTGTGTCTCTGTTCCCCCTCACTTTTGGAAGTTCACTGATAGCTGACTTCTGAAAGTAATTTTTCTTTGCCCTGGTACTTCTAGCCACATACTTCTATCCTTGTTTCCCTAACCCCCCTTTTTCAAGGATGGCCAGTCAACTAACTCAAAGAGGAGTTCTTTGTCTGCTGCTTTTCCTAACTCCAGCAGTGACACCAACATGGTATGCAGGTAAGTTCTAGGAGTTGTTGTCCATTGCTTCGAGGGAAGTTAGGTCCTAGACCAAAGTTGAAGGAGGAGAGATTTAGCATACAACGAGAGACCCTTATTTTAGATACAGAGAGGAATTATTAAAAGACAACAAAGATAGCTACACATTGCCACAGACTACCAACAGAGGCTTTTGAGGTACTCTAACAATAACTATTTGAAAGTAGGCTACACCAGCACAAAACTGCAATGTTTGGACTGCATGGCCTTTGAAGCTATTGCCTCACCTGCTTCTGCACTTAGCTTCCTGAAAGCCATTTCCTAATATTAATTCCTCTATGAGTCAAATATTTATTAATATGAATTTCTTTATGAGTCAGACACCCTTGCCAAGACCACAAAAATAGGACACAGACCACATATCTCATTTGGAAAAAATAAGGGAGACAGGCAATCTATTCAAGGGAAACAAGAATACATCAGACTTCTTTCTCCCTTTCTCTCTCTGACCTTATTTATAAGATGAGATTTTTATAGCCCCTTTTTGTCAAAGTTGTTAATGTAAATACAGATCACATTCTCTGAACCAGGAATTCCCCAGCTTCTTCTGGGTTGCTGCTTATTTCAGAAGGGACATAGATTTCTGAATTCCTGAACGGTTTACCCTTCACCCCTGGAGACAAAGGGAGCTGAAGAGAATAGACTCAGAGAGGAGAAGGGAAGAAGGAGGGGGAGGAATGAGGGAAGGATAATGAGGTAGCATACAGAGGTTTTTGATGGGGCCCAGCTGGCATTCCATGTGCTAAGAATATTCTGTGGCCTGCTGTGTCTACCCTCATAGGGGCTGGGGGAGACTGAGGGAAGGAGACAGGCCCAACCAATGAGGTTAGGAAAATATCCAGAGATGAGTAAATAACAAACTGCTCCCATCACAGCTACAGGGATTGCAGCTAAAATTTTCCACATGCCCTTAGCTCCTGGTGGAGGCTGTGGCCAGCCGCTCTGTTTGTCTGGAACAGCTGCATCAAGCTTTCAAGCAAATATGCAAACTTCTTCCCCTCTTTGGCTTAACCCGGCTTTGTAGGGGGTAAAGCACAAGGGCTGACATTGAGATGAAGAAATTCAAGTCAAGCCCTTGGCAGAGCACACACTCTGTGGGGTTAAAGGAGCCCCAAGTCTCCAAAAGATTAATATGCAGCTGTCCTTTCCAACGTCTCCCTATCTTCAGTTCAACTACAGAACAAATCCAGCCAAAGACCACAGGGCTAAAAGAATGGAGATTAAATGGCTCAAAGCCCAATTCTAAACACCTGTATGAAACCTCATGGCATACAAAGACCTTTACCTTTTCTAGGACAGAAGCCTGAGCTGTTGGAGTCCTGAAGACAGGGTCTTCTTTTTTTAAATATAGATTCATCTGAGGATCTCAAAGGGCTGTTTGTAAAGGTGTCACTCCCCACTTGCACATGAACCCCCAGAGTCTCCATGGATTTTGAGGAACTGAGACTGATGAAGTCTCTGAGAGCTCTGCAAACCCACTCATTCTGGCAACCCCACTCATTCTACCCTCTTCAATTCTTAGGAGGCTAAATGATGCAAGAAATTTGGAGTCCCAAGATCTTCTCCTACATTGCTAGCTCAACTGCTGGACTTGCTTCTGTCCATTTATATATTCATTCATTTGAGAAATATTTACTAAACACTCCCTGTGCACCCAGGACCATTTTATTCACTATTATAGCCTTGTCCTCAAATGGAAACCCCACAAGAAAAGCACGAAAGTATGGATTCAGGGCTAATCAGAAAAAGAGTCCAAGAATAATCAGCAGGAGTTGGGAAGGGTTAAGAATTTAAATAAAGCAAAGATGGGTTAAAAGTGTGTATTGGTGGATATCAATGGCTTGATGCTTAAAGCAGCTGGATCCCACATGGCTACCCACACGGTTCAATTCCCAGACCTGGTGGCTTGAAAACCACACTGGACATTTATGTGTGCATAACCAAATCCTGAGAGGAGAAGGGATTGTGGTGTGACCATCCCTCAAGGGGGGTTGCTTTCGCACTTTCTCTCTCCATGTTTCTCTTCAGCAAGTGCACATGCCCTCTAGCAACAAAAAAAATTTAAAGTGTGTGTTGGTATATCTGTGCAGTTCAGGAAATCAGACTGTGTTTTTCATCATATGTCAAGCAATAATGTGAAGCTTAAAATAGTCCTCAATTGTTAATTACATTTACAACCATACCTTTCTGAAGGGCAGTGTTTAGAGGGTCTGACTGTGCTATGGAAGTAGAAGAACGAGACTTCACAGTAATCAATCACCGAATGAACTAAAGCAACCAAGGAACGCTTCTCAGACCTATACCTCCAGGGTTCAAGAGGGACAATCAGATAGAATAATGTGGAGAGTGTGCCCCTCCAGCTTTATTCCTTTTTTTTTCCTTTGGAGAGGTTTTTGCTATAGGGCACGTGCGCTTGCCAGAAAGACAGAGACAGAGAGATAGAAAGCGAGAAATCTCCCCCCAGGGAGGATGGCCACACCGCAATCCTGCAATCCCTTCTCCTCCATTCTCCCCTCGGGATCTTGGGCATGCATGCACACATGCCCGGCGGGAGTTTAAGCCACCAGGTCCAGGACTCGAACCGCAGTCGACTACATGGGAGGCCAGCGACATAGCCATTATGCTAACTGCTGGTCCCCAGTTTTATTCTTATACCCCATGTTAGTATTCCAACATTTGCAAAATAAAAATAAAAAAAATACTCAAAGACAGGCAAAGAGGAGAACTGGAAAGGTTTAAAAGAGTAAGGTGGCTTGAGCCCATTCCCAGCACAAAGCAAACTTGGCACTGGTCCAGCCACCTCCACACTCTGGTGGACATTGTAATTATCTAATTGAATCTTCCCTCCGTTTTCCCACATCCCCTGTAATTCTGCAATGATGTAAAAATGCCTGGTGGCCTTCAATCCCACACACCAAGTGAAAAAGCTGGATTGAAAGAAAGGCTTTGGATTTTTATCTCTGCTGGACATTGTCAAAAGTTCTCCCTACAACCATCTTCAGTGGAATGTCTGAGTTTGGTATTTAGGGTTCAAATAGACCTGGACTAAAATGCCCATTCTCTACTCACTAGTGAAAGATCTTGGGCCACTCCCTTAATTCCCCTGTGCCAGCTTCTTCATCTGCACTTTGGAGAGTAATAATGTCTACCCTACTGAAATGTCATGGTGATACAATGAGATAAAATAACACTGAGCAGGGACTGAGAGATGTTAGCAGTCATTGATGTTGTTATTGTTATTGTTATCCAGCCTTCGCCTCCAACACTTCTGATTTCTCTTTTGGTAAACAGCCATT